TATTTTCTTTTTTTTTTTTTTCTTTTCTTAATAAAGATTCGCCGCGCTACTGTAATTTAAACGACGAAAGTTATTTAAAGTGTGACTAGTAGTATGATTTTATAACGAGAAAAATAAAATAAAATAAAATAAAAGAAAAGAGGAAGAAAAGAGGAAGAACTATCGTAATGGAATGAGAAGTAAAATTAAAAGTTCATTTAAACAATAATTAATAAGATCGTAAGAGGAACCGTTAACGTTTCTAATAATAACCGCTTATAACTGCTTAAAGTGAATAAGTGCGTGAGTACTTAAATTTTCTAAATGACATAAGAAGGCCGACCAAACTGACTGATTACGTGCTTTTGAAGGACGATTAATTGTCGTTTCATTTTATTTCATTAAACTTTTTAATAGAAAGAATTTTTGTTATATATACAATATTTCAATATTGTATATAATCGCGATCGAATATTATTCTATAAAAAGAAAAAGAAAAAAAAGAAAAGTAAAAAAAAAGAACAAATCCAATTAAGTTTAGTTAAGTTCATACAAAAATTTCTAACTACAAATTCGTCTTTTTTTACACACCCAATTATGGATAGGTAATGAGAAGGGCTACAAAGTTCAGAATCTAGTACGTGGGAAGGACTATAATAGAATGAGAAGTTAAAATGTTATGCTAACAGTAGTTAAGAAGGATTGCAAAGTTTGCTTTGAATGAATAAAACCTAACGAAAAACATAAAACCACATATTATACTGTGTGATACTTGCATGTTATAGATTATTTCATAAAATACCACACACACAAAACAACAATACTTAATTTAATCTTTAACAAATATCCTCTCTCTTCTCTCTCCTTGATGTATAAAGATATATGTATATATATATAAAATATTAAAATATGTTAAAATTTTAAACGTTAAATCATGCGTTAAATCATCTCAACGTAGCTCACCCCATACAAAAATAGGATTAATAAATATAATACAAGTTTATAATATATTATTATTACAAATACCTATATACATGTTATTGTTACAATAAATGTTATTAAAATTATTCTACGAAGATTGAGAAAAAAAGAGAAAGTAAAATATAAATAATTAAATAAAAATCAAAATATAATGTAGAAATGATACAATATTACAAAGTGTATTTTTATTATTTTGTTGTTTTTTTCATTTTTGTAATTCGCGAAGAAATGTAAGAAAGAGAGGAGGAAGAAATAAAAAAAAAAAGAAAAAGAAGTCAATTACATTCACGAAATGTAATAATACAGTTGGTACCTTAATGATAAGGTTTCCCCCGTTCTTCCGACCATCCACCCTCCTTCCCCCCGTTCCTTTTCACTGAATTGAAACTGTAGATCAGTATGTAGGATGCATATTCGTGGTAAAACTTTCATGCAATATGCGATTGCCAAATGCCAAGTTCGCATGATGCAACTTTTAAATCTACTTCTTTATGACTCTTTCCAGTTTGGCCGATCTCCATTATAAATATTTAGATGTATCCGTTTAATTTGACTTATTGTAAAAAACATATATATATATATGCATTCATAAAATATATACATAATTACTTAACGTAATAATACTTAATAAAAATATTTCAATAAAACTATTATAATATTTATAATTATATATTTTGTATAATAATTATAAAATATAATCGCGTGATATAATATAAACGAACTTTGATAATACAAATTTTGTAGTATTGTAATTAAAATTTAATTACAACGAAATAGAATTTTCAACGAAAAAGAAAAAAAAGGAAAAAAAAATAATAATGTAATTCATTAGATATTATTTTTCATAATTTTTTTCTATGCATAATAATTATATCTTAGTTAGATTTAAAATGGAAAAAGGAAAAGAAAAGAAAAAAGAAAAAGAAGAAAAAGATAGAAGATCACTTTTTGCCTAGTTTCGATTTAATCCACGTCTTTCAACTATCCTTCGTTAAACTTCAACGTTTACACGTGGAATCACGATAGAAAGTCGTAAAGTTTTTAGCAAGTGGAAGGAAGGTAGTACGATCCAACTAAGTATATCTCAAGCTTATCTCACACTGACTTAATATTTCATGTCACGAGTATTACAGACCGTTCGCTTTTCGTTTAAGGCAATAATTCATAAAGAAAATTTACTACCATCACACATTTTCATAGTGTAAACGAAACTTTCGAAATTTTCTAAATGAAATCTTTCATACGCCGAGAGGAGTAAAAAGTTTCAAATCGATGAAAAGTTCTATAGAAACATTATTTTATATTTATATTGTACATATATTTTCACGAGAAAATTTGTCGAACAAATTACCCGTCCCGAATCTTTTATTGAAATATTATTACAACGAATTGAGTTAAAAGAAATTCAAGCTAATTAAACAATTATTAGATTATTTTTCTATATTTAACCATTCGTTTTCTTTTCTTAGAATATTTATTTATATATACGTGTATGTTATTTTACATATTACTATATATATATATATATATATATATATAT